AATATCCACTCCCAGAAGAAACTCAGACGCCCACATCACACACCCCTTTCAAAAAGAAAAGCCTCAAGAATTTGATTCACCCCCCTCCTTCTCCAAACTTCTGAAATGTGTCACCTCGAAACAGTTATAAATGTGGTTAAAGATATTATCTAATTCCACTCACCAAGACTAAAAAGCTTACACCTACTTCCTTGGAAAGTGCTTATTTATTTGGCAACGCCACGGTTTAAAAAAACAAAAAAGGAGTAAATCACTCCTTGCCTGAAGTCCCTTCCCCCAATATAATGTCATCTACTTCCTGTGTAGGAGAGTCTTTGCTAAATCCAGGTTGTCTCAGACTTAACTGCCAATAAACCAACTTCCACAGAACTTCCAGACAGCTGGGGAAAAGGTCCCCGGAGTTTTAGTCATGGTCCAGAAACACGCGTCCGCACAAAAATTTGCAGCTGTCCTGTCTCTGCAGTGCATTTTTAATGTGATTCGGGGGCCCCTGTTGTGAAACATCTGACAAAATGTAAAATCCTCTTAGATACCTTCCAGTTTACCCACTGAGCCTGTGTAAGAGAAGCTGCACCAACATTTCTCCACCAAGAAGTCTGGGTGCTTTTCGTATGCACACAGGCACCTCGTGGCATGTGAGGAGACATTCAAAACCTGGAAAGGCTTCTACTGTAATCTTTAAAAGCACAGCCTCTGGTGCAACTATTAAAATGCTGGTTTTCTAAAGCAAATATTTTTTTAATGGCGTGCAGAACTGCAGTTATCCTGAACTGCTAACAGAACAGCATTCTTGATCTGCCAGCCCCCGGAAACCTTCCTGTAACTTTTTCACAGCTTGCTAAGAAACAGAAAGTTGACCAGTTTCCAGCAGGGACTCTAAATGAAATCCATATCAGTAAAATTAAAATCAAGGTGGAAAACTCCCAGGCAGAACGGGGGATTGTTTTTCTCCAAATCTTTTCTCAATCAGATAGGGGTGCATCAATGAAAGCTACTTTCCTTCAGCAGTCAAGTTTCCAAAAACACTTCTTCCAGATAAACACTCTAGGCTCCCGACTGCCTCATAGTTTTGTTTCTGGGGTTTTCAGAAGGTTTTCATTTCAACAAACTATGGAAGTGCTGGCATATTAAATTTATAATCATTAAAATATGACTTACTGGGTGAATGTTGAGCCCATAATCCAAACTGCAGACATTAAACCCCAACCTTAGAAAAGATTAGCACGGAATTAATACTGCTGCCTTGAGATTGAAATCTAAACATGTTTGCCATAAATATTTCTCAAGGAGATGAAAAACAATTAGCATAAATACCAAAGAAGGGCAAGAACACCTGTTCTTTTTCAGGGCGATAAGCATTTTATTGTTCTCTATTTAAAATGTAATGACCTGTGTAATTACAGTAATATTACATTGTTATGGAGGGGCTTGGAATGTCACACTTTGAAAAGTGTTGTCAAAACAATCAGGGGTGAAGGTGGGGGGTGGGAGGACAACGGGGAAGGACCATCATTAACCCTTCACACGCCAAGGTCTAAATCTTTTGTATTAGAAAGGATTATGTTGTTTGAGCGAGGAGAAAACATCCATTTTTCACCAGGCAGAAAGAGAAGTTGCTGCCCAGCTAAATAAAACCCCAATGAATAGGCCCCTCTTGGTTTCCTTTAAATGCTGGATTCCAAGTTCAAAAATGAATTCAAGATGCTGCTTATTTATTTGTTCAACCTAGTAGCAAACAGTTTCAGCTGAAAAGCAAATAACTTTGGATCAAAGAAGATGCAAAAGCTCTAATAGCCAAGTCCTTAGTTAAGAATTTCAAACCTAACTGGAATTTCGGCCACCAAATCCCATATTCTCATTTGGCAGGAGGGAAAAAGAAATGTAAAACTAGTTTTTCCTATCAACTTTAATACGGAAACAGTATTTTTATCTTTAGTATCTACAAATGTTACCACAATTCTAATATTTGCAGTTCTATCACCTCCCATATGCTTAACCAGACCTCTCGCCTTAATGCTTTTTTGTATTTGAATCTTTTTAAAAGCCGTTCCTATTACTGTATCAAAGGCTAAATTAACATGATGTAGAAATCTTTGTCATTTTAAAATAAAATTATTACTATCAAGCTTTATGGCGTCTCCAGCAATTAAAGCATTATTCTTGAGATAATGTATTATTCATCATAAGCCCATTTAATGATACTCCTTAATTCTTTACGTTATTAAATCGAAAAGCAGAAACCAGGAATCCAAAGAGCTTGCTTCTGAAAGGATGCAACTGCTTACAGGTACACTCATAAGTAACACAAAATAAGCAAAAAAAAAAAAAAAATACACCACCAAGGAGGGTCGGGTAAAGAACAGAGCCAATTTGTCTTTACACCTTGCCCTCAAAAAACACACTATGAAGCACTAAGAATTTCAGATGAGCATGAAAAGACCGCTATCTTGCCTATAGATTCCTTCGGCAGCTGTATCAAATCTGGAATTGCAAGCCGGCCTTCTGATTGAAGAGGTCAGGAGTGACACATAACAGCCTCTCAGCCTCATTTCCATGTCTCTGCTTACCGGCTTAAATAAATAACTTTAATTTTGGAGCACATCAGCTAACTCAGGTAACCGATAGGAGGGAGGAATAGCCTGTGCGCACAAAAGATGTCTGTTGGATGTTTGACACGCAAATATTAAAACTGCCTCCTGAGTTCAGAAATGTCTTCTCAATCTGATGTCACAGCACCAGGCCACCCGCTATGTCCGCAATTAAAATCACAAGACGCCGAGTACTCCTACAATGCCCACAAAGGGGACGGGGTGGTTGGGAGCTTTCCCTTTCGCACCGGGAAATCATTTATTTGTCTTTAACAATTTCCCTGTTTCCTAATTACAGCACAACACAACTGTTGGAGTTTCGGGAGACAGTGGGGCAAGCCTGCCAAGGGTCACAGACAGGAGTTTGCAAGGAACCCAGAAGGGCCAGCAAGCCCGTCATCAAAGCTCAGTATTCAGATGGCCTTTCAGATGGCAAAGTGGATTTTAAAATAATATCAGAGAGACTTCCATCGTAGGGGGAGGGGAGGAGAGGAAGAAATTCTCAGGGTTACTTTGGAATGTCGCTTGGTCAGCTTGGTCACTATACAAACTCTCCGGTTCGAGATGCCCACGAGCTCCCAGGAAAAATACAACGTAGCCGGCCTGTGTTTCGCCTCCAGCCGCAACCCCACAGACCGGCCCCTGCCTCCAGATAGCGCTGGCCATGTAAGAGGAGGTCGGGCTGAAACGGTCTCCCAGCTTTCCAAGCCTGCAGAAGCCTGGGCGCAAGGGAGGGCGGGGGGCTATAATTATTTCTTTTTCCTTGCCGTAAAAAAAATGACCGATCTACCATGCCCTTGGCCTTTTTTTTTTTTGCCGGGGCCCCAAAAAACAAGTCAAACCTGATAGTTAATATTTTAATGCTTAAAAACACTTGTAGATCGGATCGACTTCCCGTCCGGCAAGCCCTCGGCCATTAGCACCGAATCCACGGCTGCTGAACAGTCAGTGCCCTATTTCAAATTGCTAGCTCGAGTTACCGAAAAAGAAAAAGACAAAAGTAGTGTGTGTGTAAACAAGAGGTAGGGGGACTGAGCCAGAGAAGGTGCAAAATAACAATCGAGAAGCCGGGCACAAACGTTTAGAGATCGCGTCCAGAGATTCGGGATCCACGCTTTTAAGAGGAGGGTGGGATGGGGGGAAGGGGTTCAGGGCGAGGGCAGGGGGCAGAGGTCGGTCGGGGAAGGGGGTGAGCCCTATTAACAAATGTCAGGGGTGGGCTCCGGGAGCACGCTGCGGAAAGCGCCCCCCAGAGCCTGGCACCCCGCTCCGCCCTGGGGCCCTCAAAGTTGGGTGGCCTGCGATTAGCAGCCCACTCCCTACAAGGACAGGCGCCCTGGGCCTCTCTCAGCCTCTCTACAGCCTTGGGCCCCCGCACACCCTGGTCTCTGCCCCCCTTGGGCCCGCTGAGGGCCTTTGCTAAAGCTGGCGAGCGCAGACCCCGCTATATAACCCCAAAGCACCAAATTCCCTAGAAATACATCAAGTCCGCCCGGAGGAGGCCATCCCGGCTGCACACAACCCAAGAACCGCAGCCACAGGGGCCTCTCCACCCCGCGCGGCCCAGGAGAGCCGGCAGCCAGCGCGCCACGCCGCCGAGCCAAGCCACGGCGCCCAGGGCGCTCGCGGCCCTGCGGGGTGGCCCCCAGAAAAGGAAGCCCGGAGCCCCCCGAAGTTTCCAGTGGAACCCGTCTAGGAAGCGTGACCTTCCAAGGGGAAAAGGGGAGGAGGGCTGAGAGCCAGCCATCTCCACTAGAAAGCTAAAGAAATCAGCGGCCGAGAGAGAAAGCCGAGGCGCTTCTCCAAGGCCCCGGGCTCCGCGCGCCCGCTAGTTTTCAAGTCCAAACGCCCGGAGGGACAATCCGCTCTCTACCACCGAGCGTCGGGAGCAGCCCAGTCACTCCGTCCCCGGCCGCGGCAGCCAAGGGGTTAACCGGGGGAAGCCCAAGACGCCACAGAAGAGGGAAGGAAGAGAGGGAGAGGGAGAAAAGAAAGAGCCACACAGTCATCTTCCCAGGGTGAAGAAACAAACACCACCACCAAAGGGGGCGGGGGCAATCAGAGCGCAGGAGGGAAAAAAAAGGAAAAAGTTCTTCTGATTTCCCCCCCACCACCACCACCACCCCAGCAGAGCCCTGCTTGGAAAGCAAAGTCTCCCCAACATCACGAGGCAACAAACTGAAAGCAAGAACATGGCGAAGTGCAAACACATCCCAGTCCACAAAAGGCAGAAAAGTTTGGAGAGTTTCGGGCTGCTGGGCCACGAGCGGGGGAGGGGAGGCGGGGAGGGGTGGAGGCGGGGAGGGGGAGGGGGAGGAAGGGGAGGGAGAGGAGGGAGGGGGCAGGGCAGGGGCCGCATGCGGGGCCGGGCGGGCAGGCTGCGGGCGGGGGGCCGGGCGCGGAGGCACTTACAGTTCGGGCGGTGGGCGAGAGCGATCCGTTGGGGAGGTAGGGGCTCGTCAGGTCGGGGATCATGATGAAGGGGTAGCCGGGATACGGTGGCCCCTTAAAGAGCCCTCCATCTTGCCTCTTGGCCGCTAACATGGCGGGGCGGCGAGGGGACGGCGGCGGCGGCCGCGCGGAGCGGGAGAGAGCGAGGAGAAACTTTTTAGAAAAGTGCCCCAAGTGGCCGGGGGCGCCCGGGGCCGGACCGGCGCACGGCCGGGCCGAGCGGGGCGCGGGGCCCGGGGCCCGGGCGCGCGGGGCGGCGGGCCCCGGGGTGGGGGGCGGGGGGGGGGGCGCAGCTCCGGGCGGCTGCGGGGCAGCGCGGGGCGTACTCACCTTCTTCCAAACTTTCCCGGGATTTATCTCGGAAACTTTCGGAGCGAGGCGGAGGCCGTCTTTCCGCCTTCCCGGAGGGGTGGAGGTGGGGAGGGCGAGGGGCAAACGCCACGCAGAGGTGGGGGGGAGAAGCGGGGGAGAAAAAGGATCAGCGAGGTGGGGGGTTTGAGGTGAGGGGGAAAGAGAAAAAAACAGGGTTACAAGTTTTTGCAATGGTGGCCCCACAAGCACACGCCGCCCGCCTGGCCCCGCGGCGCCCCGCCGCCGCCCCCAGCCCCGATTTCTCCCCTCTCAGCAACATTTGCCAAGCCCAGGAAATAGATTAAGAACCCCACCAGCCCGAGGGGCTTTTCCTACCTCGGAATCGGAGGAGCTGTTTTGATTCGTTTCTGATTCATTGACTAGAGACGATTTGACATCAGCTAAATCCCTCTCCGCCGAGGAGTTTTCGGAGCTCTTCTCCTCCTGCTCGCCCTCGTCTTTGAAGGAAATCAGTTCGTCGTTGGCGCCTAGGTCATCTCCTCCACCGCCGTTCAGCTGCGGCATTTTTTTTCACCCACCAGCAGCAATTTTGGAAGAAAAATGAAGTAGGAAGAAAAGCCAAAAAAAAAAAAAAACCCAAAAAGTTTTGCCCCCCCCAAAAAAAATTGCAAGAAAAAGACGAGTCCAAGGTGAACTTTTTTTCGGCTTTGGGGTCTTTTTCTCCTGGGGAGGGGAAAGAGGGAGGAGGGGAGGGGAAGGGGGGGGAGATCTTCTGCACGCGTGAGTTTGGGTTTCTTTTTTCTCTCGTTCCCAAGGATCCGATCAATGTGCAAAAAAATAATAAATAAAAAAAGGGGGGGTAAAAAAAACCACACCAACAACAACAAGAAGTCAGATATAAAGAGCAAAGGGGGGGGGAAGCCGAAGATACAGGAGGAGCTCGTGCCGCTCGGATTTGAGTGAGTTGAAGTTAGACTGAGAGCTTTTCAGTTCAAAGGCGGCGCTGATTGACAGATAGAAAAAGGGGGATCGAAATCCGGAGGAACGGAGTAGTCTGGGAGCGGAGATTATTGACAGGGCGAGAGGAACACACTCGCTTAATGAGATGCCGGGGGGCGGGCCCGGCCCGGTGACGTCTGCATAAATAAACAGCCGGGGTGGGCGGGGCGGGGGCGGCTAACAATGATCCTTTCGGGCGCCGGGAGAGGGAGGGGGGAGGGAGGGAGGGAGGAGGAGGAGAGGGGCGGGGGAAGAGTGGGGGAGAGACGGAGGGAGGAGTGTGCTAGGGGAGAGGCCTGCGCTGAGTGTGTGCGGGAGCCCCGGAGTCTGGGCGAGGGAACGGGGACTCGCTCCGGGTGGGGGGCGGCTTCGGAAAAGACAATGCGGAGTAGGAGAGGAGGGGAAGGGGGGTGGGTGGCGATCGCGTCAGGAATCCGAGTCGAGGAAGGCGGAAGGAAAGCCCACTTGGGGGGCGGGGATGGGGAGAGGCCCAGAAAAAGTGCACTTTAGAAATAGTAGAAATAAGTCTTAAGGAAGGAGAAAAGGAGGAGAGTATTGGGGAAAGGGTGGGAGGTAGGGGTTTAGTGGTTAAGCCAGCAGTGAAATCAGCCACCCTTGGGCGGGATGTAACAGAAGTGGTCAAAAAGAGAGATCAACCCTCCACTCTCTGAGAGCTTGGGGAAGTGGAGGGCTGGGCAAAGTTCCTGGTCATCTGCAGTGAAAGAAACTATTAACCCACGAGGTCTTCCCTCCCCTTTTTTGTTTATTAATAGTGAATCATTTCGTTAAATCGTTAAGTCTCTACTAGAATAAATATGCCAAGTAGACTTTTTACCCAAAAAACAATCAAATACTGTAGTGTTTGTCAGGGGCATTAAAAATATCCTTAAGGAAAAATACCTGATTCTTGATTCTTTTCAATGTAGAATGTTGTTCTTTTTTTTTTTTAACTGACCTTGGAGGTGGTAGGATATCAGCTAGGATTCAAAGTCCTTTCTGACTTGAGGTGAAAAGTTTGGGCGTTAACGCCGCCAGGGAAAATAAAACTGAAAGTTCACCAACCCCAGGGATCAGTGGTACTGGAGTCTTTCTGGAAGGAGATCTGAAATGAAATCCCCCAAAGACTGACCAAATAAGATGTAGATGGTTCTGGCAGGAAATTGCTAACCCAGCTGATGCTAGAAGGCCTCAGGGAGGAGATGGAAAACCTGAGGTTTGAGGCAGGTATTTGTTGATTTTTAGGCTCTCTCCTGGGGAGCAGATTGATTTGCTACAAAATGGGGAAGAAAATTATGTTAAAGGGGAAAAGGCCTGGGTCCCAAAACACAGTGTTCTAGAAAATGGAGCAACAACACTCATTTTCTTGCAAATATCCAGTGAGAAGTGAACTGGAATCTGCAACAGGAAAGGGGACAAAGAGAACCAGGAAAAAAAAAAAAATCAATAGGGAATTAGCAAATTTTCTTTTAGGAACAGAGTTGGTCTAGAGTCCGAGATGTACTAAACTATTTCACCCATCCCCTAAAATCACATCTCACCTGCTTTTCAGCTGGCCCATCAGCACCTAAGCTTTCCAAAAGAAAGCCAATTTACCATGTAATATTTAGAGAGTTTCGCTTTTCAGCAAAACTGTTTTATAGGCTAAGGTCTCAGAAAGAAGACTACTAAAAATAATGATACCAAGATTGACAAGGCCAATGAATTCCCCTGCACTGGAAAAAATTCATAACCACATTTGCACACTAAAGAGCAAGATGTGGGCAAAATAAAAATGTGGCGGGGCGGGGGGAGGCTATGGAGGAGAATCACAGTAACTCCCAACTTTAATATTAATCAGAAAATCACAAGTAGAGTGAGAAGGAGCCTGAAAAGAAGTAAAACAAATGTGTACATTTAATCAGACAGGATTGCATAGGATACAAAGCACAGGGCTAATTAGTCTCAGCAGGTAGGACTAACCTTCAGACTTCATAAATAAATAAGGCGGGCACAGTTTCTAAGAGGGTGAGTGGAGACAGAAAGGGGATTATTTTAAGACACCAAGTAAAAACACGAAGAATGAAATGCTTCACTGTTAAATCCATGTACAAATGGATTTAACAGTTTCCTTTTTTTTAGGTCTTTTCACTTGGTTGCCTTTAGATTTACACATTTATCAAATGGCCATAGCTTTTCACACTTGCTAATTGTCACCTGTATACTTGGTGTGCCTGAGTCTGTGTACAGTGTAGACTTTCCTAAGGCCTGTTTTAAGGCCTTATTTACTTAAATGAGAACACATTTACAGTAACTCAATTTTATGGCAATTTCTCCTGTGCAATGCTTCTTTTATTTTACTCCAACCCTGATCTGAATTAAGTTGGATACTGAGGTCTTCTATGTCCTTTATAGGACTTACCTGGATAATAAAAGGTCATAAATATATCGAATTGAAATTTTAATGAATGTACTTACTGTTTTTAATGTCCTGGCCTGCATTTTTATCATATGTTAATACTAAGGACTTTGGATGATTAGTAACCTCATCCATTTTGGCATATCCTTATGTTTCTCATTGAAAGGAATCTCTTAACATCTCTGATTCAATTAATAAATTTAGAGTTATTCCATCATTCACCACATTTAATCGTGTTGCTTTGTGCCATAGAAAGTCTTGAGACCAGGAAGATCTCAGAGCATCAATTACCCCTGAGTCTCCGAAAGGGTTTTAGGTAGTCTGGGGGGATAGGGGAGAAATGGGGGAGGGTGTGAAATTAAAATCGGCAAAAAGCAAGGTAATATAGTATTTAAAAGAAAGGTCCGGTTGGCCTACAATGTAGATGTGTCGTTTGTAGATTTGCTGTGAAATTTTAAACAACCGCTGGCTGTATCCGGGTGTTGAGGCTACTTCTCTCTCTAGATACTGATGACTGACTCTTAGTTTAAAGGACCAAGAGTTCTGCCCAAATAGCAGGGGTTCTAAACATGGGGAGGAAGCCAGAGCAGTTCTGACTTTAGCCTGAGCCAAGGAGTTTTGCATGTAAGAAGCTGGGACTTCTTCCCTCAGAGCCCTTTCCCAGGGCCAGCCCAAGTCCTGAGCTGTAAGTAGACGGCCCCTCTGCCCTCGTTTCTTCCTCCTCCTCCCCATCCAGTGTCTTTTGGCTTCTTCACTTCTCTTTTCTTCTCCCCTTCAACCATCCCTCTGTTAAATCTCTGTGGACCTGTGTTGCTATTAGTAATCTGCATTTTAACCTCAGAAATTAAATGGTTTACCTCTCCCATGGGTTCTTCCTTGTTCATCCCTATCGGAGAATGTGAAAGGAAGTTTCAATTTATATATATATCACTTTTCAGGCATCAGTTCTCTACCGAGGGTTGTTAGGGCAGAGTGGTAAGTGTCCTCTGAAATATGGGACTGTGCTTGAAGGGAAATGGCAGAAGCAGGCTGGCCATTGGCCTTGTTACCTATGGCCCCTTTGTCCTGTCTCACCTGACCAGTGAAGTGGTTGGACTGGATATTTTCTTAGGTCCGTTCTAACATTCAGAAAGTCTACGATTTCATACTTTCAGCCTATACCCCCATTATGCTTAGAGGCTCACCGGCATACCAACAAAAAGAACAAACTATATTGGAAGTTTGGCTTTAGAATTTAGGAAAAACAAGAATAGTCTGCTTAGATTCCACCAGAAGTAGAGAATACATGTCACCAACCATACTCAGCTTCTCCAGTCAATTGGCAAGATTCTAGTAATTAAACCTTGATGGTGTTGCATACATGTGTGTGTGTGTGAGTGCTGTGTGATTTTTCTTTAAATATCAAGGTTCCAAGATGGATGATCTGTTACCCACTGTGTTGGACTTATCTTTGTAGGGAGTGTTTTGACTGAGGGAAGCCAAAAAAAGAATCTGAAAACATAAGGAAGCTATAAAATGGGGAAATGTTTAGAAGCCAAAGTCCTGATTCCACTGTGATATTTTCTGTTTGCTTTTTGTTCTGTGTGGGTAATGGTTCCTTATTTGGATCTTGAGGAAAGCTACTCCTTTAGCCAACCTAGGAACACTAAAAATTGGACACCTGAGAGTTTTCAGTTTTAGTGAGAGGAAGAGGTAGGCAAACAGGGTCCACTTCAGGCTTCCCTGGTGGTTCAGTGGTGAGGAGCCCGCCTGCCAGTGCAGGAGACATGAGTTCGATCCCTGGTCCGGGAAGACCCCACATGCCACAGAGCAGCTAAGCCCAGGCACCACAATTATTAAGCCTGTGCTCTAGGACTCCCAGGAACCACAACTACTGAAACTCATGCATCCTAGAGCATGTGCTAGGCAACAAGAGAAGACACCGCAGTAAGAAGCTAGAGCACCACAACTAGAGAGCAATCCCCACTCGTCGCAACTGGATGAAAGCCTGTGCAGCAGCAAAGACCCAGCATAGCCATAAATTAATTAATTAATTAAATAAAAATATTTTTTTAAAAGGGCCCACTTCACAGGCAACCTTTTATTCAACCCCTCCCCCCCACAATGATTCTATCAAGGGACTCAGAGAGGCACACACCCTCCTTTTGAAACCCTGAGGAACACTGTTCTG